CGATCGTTTAAATATCGTAACGATGACATGATTACTCGAACTACATAAAAATGGGCAAGAAAATCGAAAAGGCAAATCCGCTGTGCGTGCAACTAACGCGGAATATATACATACGCGGCGGGATGTAAGCTGTATTGTATCGCTCGTGCATTCTCCTCACGGGTATATAACGGAACAGAAACGGCAGAATACAGCCGCGTATCGGGCGGGATAGCGAAAAAACGGTAGCAACACCGAAAGAAAATATCAGAGAGCACCGCTTTTTTCGGAAGTGCTTTCAGCGTATTTAAAAGTCCATATCTCCTGCCGTAAAACCGCGCGACAATTCTAACGAATCCCATTGAATCTCACGCCCGCGGACTGCGCTGGGACACGCACCAAAGCGCCTACGCAGAAAACGCATCTGAACGCATAGCTAAACGGAAAAATACACCGCTGCGCGGTCGCGCCGTCCAGCGGCAGATAATAAACACGCGGGAAACATCGCGGAGCGCCGAAGCTCGATATGATTCCGCGCCGGGCGAGCGCGACCCACGCTCGCTGTAAGACCAAAGCTTTTGTCCCAACGACTGTTTTCCAGAGGAGACTCCAGAGGAGAGGGAGAGACAGGGAGAGGGGATGCGACGCCCCGCGTCCCGGGGAGTCGCGAGTGACAGACAGTCACCCAGATTCCGTCGCTATTTGCCCACGTGCGATATTCATTATGGACTTAAACTCCGGCGGCACTCGCGTTACTTGCGCCGCCGATCGATCCGGATAATCTCGTTTCGCGGCTTTCGCCTCCGCAGGCGCTTCCGCGAGCGGACAGGAGTCTCCTCTCCGTCGTGCGATCACAACGACGCGAATATGTCGAAACCGATAACGCCGGGCTCAAGCGGGCATCTGCTTCTCAAATGGACGGCTAAGCCCGGCGGCGGCCGGGCAGTCAACCGGTCGCCCGGATGAAATATGGTAGTCGTTGCTCGCGCCACGCCCAGTTTATCATATTTCTTGCAGTGCATTATCATAATAGCATCGTGCATGAGATCGGGCCGCGTCGTTCCGCCGATGACACGGCGCGTCGCGCGGGGAGATCGATGCGATGCGATGCGGCGCGGAGCATCGGCGACCGGCGCCTCGCCGACGGGATTCAAGAGCAAACGAGCCCCGTCTATACTTAACCCTTAGCTGCAACGGTGGCGGCTCTTTAAGGCCGGAATAGCGCGGACTCTTTTTGCCGGCTTGAACTTCGGTTCTTGCGCGCGCGCACCATCGCGTTGCTGCGACGTGTATAAGCGAGCGCTGAAATATGCGTCGCGTATCGCATATCGGAATGATGATTGCTATGTATTGGGTTGGCAACTAAGTGATTGCGGATTTTAAATAAGAATGAAATTTCAAAATTTTAAATTTGCTTTTTTAAATTTTTTTCAATGCATGTATGCGATACATTGAGCTTCTCTGCAATATCACGTGTTGTGCTATGACGATCTGAATCGATAATGGCCTTGATATGCAAGTCTCATCGACTTCAACTGGACGGCCAGATCGTTGAGCATTTTTCAATGAAAAATCACCAGAACGAAATCTGGCAAACCAATTTTGACACTGCCTTTCTTTCAAGGCTTCATTCCCATATACGGCACATAACTTCTCGTGTGCTTGCGATGCGTTCTTGTCTTTTCGGAAATAATGCAATAAAATATGTCTGAAGTGCACGTCTTGCTCTTCCATTTTTAAATTGGGATAAAAACAAAACTAAACAACTAATCGATATAATTTTTGTACTAAATGAAAGGTAGAAGTCCAAACAATAAGAAAAAAATATAGGTTAGGTACTTTGAACACGTTAACGAAACAAAAGAAAGTGTAAAATCCATCTGTCGACAAAATCCGCAATTACTTAGTTGCCAACCCAATATTATTTCAAGTCTCTCCGAGGACAAACGTTTCTACAAACTGATCCATTTTCTCTTCTCGCTTCGATCGACTTGGTAAGGTAAATGTCCCGGTAACCTGACCGGTTTGTGAGGTCGTCACAAAAAATACAATATATAATATTAAAAATAGTTTTGACATAAATAAATTGCATTATTCGAGAACTTAAGATTCCCTCAAGTAGAGAAAAATAATTTAAGCCAATGTATATATCTATTATTAACCCCTTGACATATAATGACGTCTGGGAGACGTCATTCGCGCTTCATGTGCCATTGTAAACTTTGACGTCTCCGAGACGTCAAGAACTGTCTCCGGCGGACGCCGAGAATCGTGCGTCGATTCTGTTTCGTTTCGAATGCTCATTATAATGTTACTTAATTATTGTCCATTAACATTATATGTCAACCTGATTAAATGTTATACAGCAATGCAAATTTCAAAATAAAATGTTCTGTTTCTAAGCTTACACATAACTGTTGAGTTGAGCCAAATTAAATAGTATTTTTCAAACGCATCAAATTCCGTTTTATTTGTATGTCAAGGGGTTAATGAAATATTTAGACAAGTAACAAAGCGCATTAATGTACCAGTGACCGGACGGTTGAAAGGTTACGGCCCAATATTCGGATACAATTCGTCTCAGGGTCTGACCGCGATTAGAAAATTAGTATGTGCTAACGAGAAATAATATAAATGTAGATGCTGTCTCTTAATGAATTTATTAACGATTGACCATTATTTTGCCAAACCATAGGCGCTTATACTTGTTTAATTAATTTTTTCTTTTTTAATACAAAATTATCAAATTGGGCATATTTTTTTCCAACTAATCGCCAGATATTAGTTTTTTACAATAATTATTACTTTCATTCATTATTGTTAAAATAAATAGTAAGTAATTTTTTTCAAAGTGGTCGGATACTGGCACATGTCCGGCCATTGGGACGTTTACCTCAGGCTCGAATGAACTATTCGTAAAAATCGGCATCTTTGATGAGTGACTGATAAGAATAATTGATTGATATTTCTTGTAACCCGGGAAACCCGTTATAGTGACGTGGAAAGAGTCTCGTATTTTTTTTTTTTTTTTTTTTTTACCAATCCCTGCCCTTCAACGCGTACGAAAAAGTTCTGATTCAAAAATCGTAAAAATCAGCCGGACTGAAAGGCTGAACTGAAACTGACGAAATATCGTCCAGTTTCACGTTACCGATCCTTCAACTGGATAAACGGGAATCGAAGTGGCGCAAATGATCGTGAATTTAAATGCAGCCTTTTTTGCGCGGCCACGTCGAGTGCAGCTCCTGCAGCGGGAGGAACGCGATTTGTCGGGAACAATTATTTTGAATATTATGCAAAACAGACACGTTATGAATATTAAAATCGTGCTAGAACACCGACTACTAAATATTACATCGCGTTATGAAGCCGTAACAACATGTACATGCTCTCCGATGGCATCAATATTTAAGGGTTCGCCGCATAATAAGGATATGCTAAATGTGAGGTTTCTTCACCGCTTCCGTTACATCGAAGCTGCTCCCGCCAAGTCCTTGTAAACATCTAAACTCCGCTAAAGACTACTTATGAAAACTTTCGCGACTACCGTGACACATCCGCGTCACGACGACGGGCTGCTACGTTTAAAGTAGAGCGTTACATATTTAAAGCCGACCGACGATAACGATCCACCCGCGTGAACTAGAAACTCTGGAAAGACCGCGTAGAGAAAAGGAAGAGAGGGAATCGCATCGTCTGTTATCGTTGGTTATTACGCGCCGTATCGCGTTCGCTTCCCTCATCATTTCGCGCGCACCGTTCTCCAGCGCGACGATGGCCTTTGGTGGGATTCGATCGGAAATTCAAGGAAACGCGCGATCCTCCTTGTATCGCCCGGCGATATATCAATTAGCGGAACGAGAAACGCAGCGGTGGAGCGGTGGTATCGAGGCCAAAGGATATATTGCGCATAAGGATTAGATCTACCAACGTGTCGGGTGGGTTTACGGTGACGAAAGAGCGGACAAGGAGAAGAAAAAGGCCAGCCACCTCTGCGATGCAGAGCGCGCCGGTATAAGAAAGATACACGAGGGCGACAGAGGTAGTGCAGGTGGGGATTTAATCAACTTTCCTTTTTGTCTCGTAAATCTTCGTAAACGCGAGATCCTCTCCCGTGCGAGAATCGCCCTCTCGATTTTTTTATCGCAGACTCGCAGACTCGATGCGTGTTCTTTAAAACCCACCGCTCCGATACTTCTCTCTCTCTCTCTCTCTCTCTCTCTCTCTCTCTCTCTCTCTCTCTTCTTCTTTTGCTTTATTATCACATCTTGATGCTCCTAAATGCCCGATCGCGGTCATTGCACTCCATGCTCAGAGAGAGAAACTCGTTTTTAGCACAATACATATATTCCGCGGCAGGTATACATTATAAATATTAAGTAGAGGAATGTGCATGTGCTGCATAATGAAGTCGGACGTTAATCTCGGGTTTAATTAAGTCGTATGGTAATTCAAGAAAGTCCGAGTCCACCATATTTCAGTCGTCGGGATCCTTTTACGCGGATCGGTTGATTCGCCGTGTGTGTGTGTGTGTGTGTGTGTGTGTGTGTGTGTGTGTGTGTGTGTGTGTGTGTGTGTGTGTGTGTGTGTGTGTGTGTGTGTGTGTGTGTGTGTGTGTGTGTGGTGTGTGTGTGTGTGTGTGTGTGTGTGTGTGTGTGTGTGTGTGTGTGTGTGTGTGTGTGTGTGTGTGTGTGTGTGTGTGTGTGTGTGTGTGTGTGTCCGCGCGTAAGCGTGCCTAAAACTCGCGCCGTATTTTATATTCTAATTTCAGAATGATGGAGCCGATATCACCAGAGAGAGAGAGAGAGAGAGAGAGAGAGAGAGAGAGAGAGAGAGATAACAATCTGATTTACTGCCTAACGCCCGATATCTGATAAGAGAATCGATATTTTCGCTTGAAAGCGGATTTTCATGTCAAGTCGACGTGTCTCTTTCTCCTCCGTGTTAACGTGCGACACGAATAATCGTACAGATGGGCATGATTATTAATCGTTTAACTGAATGTTTTCGTCTGTTTTCAGCGCTGAGGTCGAATCTGGCGATAAGTATCGAGCCGTACAACGAAACGGCTGTGCGGGCCGGCGACAGTTTGCAGATCATGTGCCGGGCTCCGCGAGAGATTCGCGTTTGCCGCGTGGAGATCCCCGGCGAGGGAAACGCCATCCTCCTGTCTCCAGGACAACCGGCGGAAGATGGTATCGAGTATTACGGTGATGGTTTCGACAAAGGTCAATGCGGCGTCAAAATCGCCAAAGTCAAGGAAACCCACGACGGTCTGTTCAAGTGTTCCGTGGCAACGACCGACTCCCGGCAGGAGATCACCGCGTCTTTGAACATCATCGTGGCGAGTGAGTTCATCGCGTTGATCGATGTTGCAGCGCGAATTTTACGGACGGAATCGTTATATTAAAGTACGAATTCGCGACGCGAAGGGCGTAATAATCGGGTCGGTTCATATTTTATCACAAGTGATATTCGAAAGCGACCGTAATGAGAATGCGCCATTCGCGCATAAGGCGTGAGATGAGATAGATAAAACGCGGTGTGTACTCCGTTTTAATTGCTTCTTTTTCCAAGATGATGAAGAGACACGCGTCAATTAGAGCGAGAGGCGAAAAAGATCAACGCTTCCACTGGTTCGGCTATAGCTGTGTATTCGAGAAGTAATTAATCTTCCTTCCTAAGGGTATTGCTTACGGAGACTTTGAAATAAGCGTCCGAAGCGGAGTTACCGTTCAAGATGAACCCGATAAAGATAAACGGCGGGCATCGTGAATATCTCGGGAGAATTTACTGCTATCTTTGCGCGGAAGCATGCCGAAGAAAAAGTAATGAATTTTAGCTCACCGACGCGAGTGATAAAACGCGCGATAAGACGCGCGGTAGAAATGTCATGGTCATTGCGTCGGTCGCTTCACCCCGAAGAAATATCTATTTTGATTTTTCAGGAGCGCCCACGGATATCAATCTTGTAGTGAAAGACTTTCATACCGGCGGAACCTCGTTCGTAAAAGGGCAAAAGATTATTGTGAGCTGCAAAGCACCGTTTGGACGACCTGCGGCGAATATATCTATATATCTGGGTATATTGTTTGTTATGTTTTAATTAATTTTAGTTTTAATTAACTTTAACGTTTTATCATCTCGAAATATCAAATGATATTTAAAAGATATCAAGTATCAAAGAATAATCTCTCTCGCGTGTAAAAAGGGGGGACACGACGCTCGTCCAGAAATTCTAGTCGTAGATTACGTCGGTCTCGCACGGGGTCGCGCAAGTTAAAACGAGAGAACGAGAGTCGCCAAGAACAATTTGAGCATCGTAAAGAAGTAAGATCGGTCGCTCATCAAACAATGTAATACGCGAGCGATATTGTAAAAACAAGCCAACATCGCGGAGTTTCAAAGCTTTGTATCTCCTCAAATTAATAACACGTTTATTAATTTTGTTATAAAGGGTAGAATTAATATACAGTGTCGTGAGAACAGATAAAGGTGAGCCGCTGCGCTCTCTCGAATATCTCGATAAACTTGATCGAATAATTAATCGGACGTTAAACGGAATGCGCGAATAAAGAGTGTAGGATATGGTTGTGAGCGTGAGAGCGATGGAAAAACAAGATGTTCTTATTACCTCTCTTGAAATTTAGACAACGACTTGCTGGAGGAGGACAAGTCCATGCTGTACAACGAATACCGCAACCACATGCAACAAACGGACGTAAAGAACGTGACGCGTACTTTAGACTGGTCAGATAACGGGAAGATGATACGATGCGTGGCTAATCACATCGCTCTCGAGAAACCTTTGGAAACTTCAATGCTACTCAATGTAGAATGTAAGTGACCGCTTTCTCGTTTCTTAACGTGTTACTTCACCGCGAGTGTATACCGCGGAAATTTCATTTTATTTCTCTTTCCCCTGACTGCCATTTTCTCCGCCATATCCACCTTTTATTTTATTTTCTCTTTTTTATTACAAAACTGATAAAACTCTCTGTACAACGTCGATTCCCATTTCAGCTAGTAAAATCTGTATTTATCTGATAATGGAAAAACAACATCCGCTGAGAAACCGAATTAATTTTTAACTCTTTAATAACTCTGTGTTTTTGCGTGTAAAATACGGTGTGATTGTGAACGGTAACTTTTTTTCTTCCTTTTTTTTTCTCATAAATGCGTTCAGAGATCAGAGACATTATATTTTCCGTGCAGTTCCGCCGCAGCCACAGTCAACTTTCGAGCGATTTGGATACGTGATTGGCAGACGGGGCACCGTCAACATCACCGTTTATGCGAATCCTAAACCAAATTTCACATGGCGAATAGGCAACATGGAGATCCTCGAGGGTCACGCCGACGAGACCAATCGATTGCAGACTTCAACCGCGTTCGACATCGTAAGTTCTTTTCTCGTTGCGGCTTTAATCTACTTTTTACCCTACTTAATGTGACTCACGTTTATTCGCGGACCTATTTAACCATTGGCCGTGTCCACGTCCGGGGGGACGTGATACGGTATTATCGGGGCGTGGAAATTCGCGAGCTTTTACACATCCAGCCGTCTCCACAGCAGTCGGACGGCAGAAATTCATTAGGGGAACACATCGCTATTATTGACTACCGCATTTTACCGTTCGATCCGTTAAAACGATTGTCGGCGGACTAACGTATCGCGACGAGGAAAGCGATGCATTTAGCGACCCGATTCGACGGGATGCCGAGCGCACGATGCACGTCCGGGGGGCTTTTAGGCTCGAGAGTCGCTAACAAATAAAACGTAGGATTGGAGAAAGAACGAGCGCGGCGCGAGCCGAAGAAATAATTGGCGATGAAAGGGGAGAGCAACCGGATTGGTGGAAGCAAATGAAACAGAAATCCAATATTGCACTGCAACGGCGGGCCTCGATTTACCGTTCGTCCGATGCATTCTCCATGCACCTGTGTGACAGGCAGCGCCGCGCCGGAGCGCAGCGTTGTAATGAAATTCCATTGAATTCAGACACTGCGGATTCGATCGACGCGCGATCGCTCCAAGGCCTTCCAACGGAGGCGTTGTTTCTGACCTATTGTTTCGTTAACAAGAAGCGGTTCGTTCGTTCCGTAGTTAACGTTTAAATGGATTTGCCGATCTTGCAACTTGCGTTTTTTAATTAGTCCGACGAGGCCGCGCCGCGCCGCGTCACATTACGTCGCGTCGCGACAAATAGAGCTAGGTGAGCGCGATGTTCGCGTCCCGAATACCGGCCGCGTGTTTCCGCGGTTATTCCGAATCCATTTATTAAACCTCGGCGCGAGGGAACAAAGGGACGAAGGTTCAACGAATCCCCGCGATTCTCAAATTCGACCCTTCCTCCTCCTCCTCCTCCTCCTCCTCCTCCCCTCCTCCTCCCCTCCTCCTCCTCCCCTCCTCCCTCCTCCTCCCCTCCTCCTCCTCCTCCTCCTCCTCCTCCTCCACCTCGTCCTCCTCCTCGCTTCCGCGGTTTACCGTATACACACGCAATAATCGTCCGCACGATTGCACGAAATCACGTGATTTTACTCCCACGGGAAAGATTAAACAAGGAGACACTCTGTGACTCGAGCTGAACCCGGCCCGGTCATTCACAAAATTCAAAGTAGCGAATTAGACGCCTGAATGTTAATTGTGTAACGTCCGCATGTGATATCGCCGGGAGGAAAATCGGGGATCTTATCGTCGCTCACGGTGTCCGTCTCGTCGCGGCAAGAGGGTTAAATCGCGCAGAGTCAGCGAACTTCCGGGTGAAAAGTCGCGAGCTTATGACTCTCGGCCTCGAGGCTTAGAGCCACGGCGAGAGCGAGAGGAGAGGAGAGTCAAAGCGTTAATCGAGCGGCACGCGCGCCAAACTAGGCGAGTGCATTCAATGACGCGGGCTATTCTCTGATCGAAAGAGGGAGAGAGAGAAGGAGGGAGGAAGAGAGAGAGAGAGAGAGAGAGAGAGAGAGAGAGAGAGAGAGAGAGAGAGAGAGAGAGAGAGAGAGAGAGAGAGAGAGAGAGAGATCCCAATGGCGTCCGATGATTTCGTCGCCGGAGCTCGAGGGATCGCTGGTACGGCGGCGGGCGCAAACTTTCCGAGCGTAACACTCTGGAACAACGCCAGCGTGTGCCAGAACCAATAAAAGCCGCCATTCGGCACTGGCTTCGGCTCGCGTATGAATGGCTTTCAAATAGGCTGCAGCTCGCAAGTCACAACTTGCAGTGGATCGAGCGCTCGCTCGCACCGCGACGCGCCGCGCCGCGCCGCGCCGCGCCGCCGTCGAATACGAATCAGCTTCCGCTGAAAACGCAATTACCACCCCGGGAGAGGCGAAAGCTCGGAAAGGCTCGGCTTACCGCTTTTCGTTCCTATAATAGCGGCTCGCGAACAACGCGCTCGACGCGATATCGAGAACCACCAAATGGATTTTTCCTCGATTAGAGAGTGACCGCGCGCGCGCGCGCGCGCGTGCGCACAAGACGGGAATATTTCATAAAAGCCGGCCGAGTTTAACGCGAGAAATGCAGTTTTCTCGTTTAGCCGAGAAAAAGGACAACGCGCATGTGACAAGATCAACGGATATAATAGAAATTAAGTAAATTTGATTGTGCGAGGAAAAATGGGACTCGGAGTGTTTGCATGGTCAAGGGAGAATCAGGAGGGCCAGAAAGAGAGAAGAGAGAGAGAGAGAGAGAGAGAGAGAGAGAGAGAGAGAGAGAGAGAGAGAGAGAGAGATTGCACAATGTTTCGCTAAAGTTATATAAGTCTGATAAAAAAGTTTATCTTTGCTGCTTGGCTTTCTTTTTTTTGTAACTACCGTTGTAATCAACAGTTTATCTCTTTAATGTATGAATTACGGGAGCCGTATTTGCGTGTGTGTGTGTGTCTGTGTGTCTGTGTGTGTCTGTGTATGCAAAAACTCGTAATTAATAGTAACGACCTTCGAGTAATTTATAGTGAACGTTCCTACAGCGGCACACATACACACACACACACACACACTTTCAAGGGCTCAGCTAAAGGTTTAATTAATGAGTAACATGACGTAGTAAATGAAGGGGGAACGGGGTCGAATCGATATGTACTTGTAACAAAGTCACCTTTACAGGGAAATGGAGGATGGAGTCTAATTTTGTCCATCAACGACGTTCAGAAATCCGACACGGAGAAGGAGTACACATTGGAGGCGCGCAACAACCTGGGATCGAATGTATATCATGTCGTTTTGTCGACGTCCTCAGAACCAGCGGGTGAGTTATTCGGGAAATCCGATTTACGCAAGTTCTTCTCGATTGAAAATGTCACACTATATGCACTTAGAAATTACGTGTACATATCATGAATATCACATATTCGCAATTCACACATCGGCAGCAGAGAAGAATGCGGCACATTCCGACACATTACATTAGGCCGATTTCCAAGGCTACACGCTCTGTGTCGTTTGTGACTGATTAAATATCTGTTAAAGCAGCACTTGCGTGAATACAAGCGCGACCGCGCGTCGTTCGTTTGCACCGTCGAGGAAAATTTCAAGCTCACCAGCTTTTTCAATTCGCGATACAATTTTCCCACCCCCGAGCTGATTCAACTCAAGCTTCACGCAATTAACGAGTGTTCCATATGTGTGTGTGTGTGTGTGTGTGTGTGATCTCTTGGCCGATCGCATTGTGCCGTTCGATTCATCGATCTTCAATGGCAAACGTGGCAAACGTTGGATGATAAATAACGAGTGCGAGCAGTCGATATATCTCCACGCGCTTTCTCCGCACACATTTTACTCCACTAACTCAACTAACGGCGTTCACACTTGGCTGTCCACCGTCCACGATCGTAATCGTAGCCGCGATCTCGCACCACGTAAACTCGCCCGCTATCGATCGTCGTAATCATCACGTCGATCGCCACCGCCGATCACACACACAACACAACGCGTCCTAGAAATATCCGACCGACGGTTTATGTTTTGTGTGCGTGTCTAACCATATCGATCCTTCACCGCATGCTCACGCAGGACCGCTCAGTAACCTCTATGGTAAGCTCTCCGAACACATGCACGCACTAGGTAATGTCACTTTTTCAAATTACTATACGTAAGTAGTCTGCGTAGTCACGTAAGCGTGCGGCGTCCCGTGCGGCGATTCCGCGTAGAGCCTCGCCGAGGATGATGATCGCGCCGGAGAATTAATAACCGTTATTTGACTAAGGGCGCGTAATACACGTCGATCACGAGAACACGCTGGACGTTGATCGAGCGACGTGCAATTTACCAATTTCCACGGCGCGCTATTGCGCGCATCGCGCGGAACAATGTAAATTTCATCGATTCGGATCGCGGCCGCACGTAACGCCGCCGCGTGATCATCAAGTATATACGTGCACGTTGCACTTTAATTGTTTTCTGCTTTTTCAACACGCGCATTATGTGGGGGGAACGGTTTCACGGGGCGCGGCTCGCGACGCCCGTGCGACGGGTCGGATCTTGTCCCGACGAGTTCGAAAAGATCGGACAATCTTTTTTCCTCGCGGAAATATCGAGGGAACGGTCAGCGTTCTTTTTTCTCTGGAATTTCCACTTTTCAGCGATACGCGCTTTAGCAATTAAAATCTCGAGATCTCGATACTTGGGATAAATCGATCGCAAATTCATCGGAGAACGACATCGAGATTAAAGTCGCGAGTCGCGTCTCGCCTCGTCTAATGATCGACTGTTTAATGAGAGCGTTCGTTGCGTATCTCGCGCGATGAATGTCGTCGATGCGTTTACGCTAAGATCGGTATCTTGAAATTTTGATACCTAAGTCACGAAGTGACGCGTGAGTGGGAGAGCGAGAAAATCACGAGCCGTGATTCCACACGCCGTGCTTTTTCTCCCTTCTACTTTCGCGCTAAGAAATATCATCCTACTCATTAGTGTCGATCCGAGACGCTGATACAACGACACGAGATATTCGAGAAATCACGATAACAAGAGACTTTCTTTTTTTGCGCGGTTTGCAGGCTTTGATTTGGACGCTGGATCCATCATCGGTATCGTCGTGGGTGTCATGGTGCTTGTACTCATTATTTTCCTCGTAATCTTTGCACGTGCAACCGGCCGCTGGTGTTTTGCAGGTGAGTCTATTTGAAAGTGCGCACTCGATTTAAAAGCCCCTTTCTTAGATTACACGCCACGTATTACATATATATGCCAGCCTCCCCCTATCTTTTCTTTTCTCTTTTTTTTTTTCTTCTTTTGTTCTCTCTGACAATTTGGTTGCGCGGAAACGGTCGGAAACATTGTAAAACTTGAGTGGAAGACGTTGCTTGCGCAGAACGACTAACTTCTCGGAGAGAGTCGAAAGCAAGCTCATTAAAGTTATCGGAACGGTATATAGCTGATTATGGAAGATAAAGTCGGTGTCGGTTGGCCGGTTGGGATTGTTGGACAAGATAAATTTTGCACTGTCAGGTGAGACATCAGCTACGATATCAGCCACGATAAATACAGAGTAGAGAAAAGAAGGAGATAAATGATATGATTTATTTGAACGTCTTCAATTAACGTCAGTCAAGTAAGTAAATGTCTCGTGCTGATAATAAAAAATTCATTTTGCGCCAATTCCTTCTGATCCGATTTAGTTTTTAGTTGTCTCCGATTAATTTTAAAAATTTGCAGAATAAAATTTTGTATATATATATAAACAAAAAAATATATATATTCGTATTAAATAATTCGACTGCCAAAAAGTTGAATCCCTGATTGATATGAAGTGAATGAGTAGAAAGGAGGAAAATCTTTTCATTGTTTTCTGCTTATTCTGCGACTCTATTCGCACAGATATATCTGCATCTATCAGCTCGTTATAGGTTTAATTTCATTAAAACTTGGGCAGAATATGAATTAAGCTTATTATATTCGACAAACATAAACATTGACGACTCGATAAAAGAGAAGCAGTCCGTCATCCATTCGTCTCGCGAATGTATGTAATATACGGAAAAAAAATGTATATTTCCAAGATTTCATCTACACGATTGCGAGCGGTTATTGTGAGTGACATGCAGGAGGTTTCAATGTTTCAAGATATTTTGCGGAAAATATGGGGACGATGTAGCGCTGATCGGCGTAGGGAGAGAGAAAATTGAAAGTGCGATAAGATTGTGTATCAACACGCATCACCATTTTCGTTGCGATTGTCGTTGTCGCTGTTGCTGTCGTAACTATTGTTTTCCGTTAATGTTGCGTTACGATCGCGGTGCAGTGTCTGGCAGTATACGATTAGCCTAAACGCGAGATCATTATCGCGCGGTAGAACAGTGTATGTGCGCGCAGTAGATGCGTATATATATATATATATATATATACCTACGGGTTTAATTAGTGCGCCCCGAGAAAAGCAGCTCTCTGTAATGCTCTGTTACCGTACTTTATACATATAAGTACACACACATATATATATATATATATATATATATGTATATATATATATATATATGTATATACATATATATATCCCTATTTATATATGAATATACTTTTATCTCTCTGAACGTATACAAATGTCTTATGTGTTGTGCCGCTACCGATAGGACAGCATGCGAGTCGGGCCAAGTAAAGAATACGGAGATACAACAACGATTACCTTGATTCCGTACTCTAGGCATGACACTGTCCAGGGGTAAGTCACCTCAGGCAGCAAAACACCCCTTCTGAAATATAATGCTCGTTCTCGTTCATCACGCCCGTCCGTCCGTCCGCCCGTCACCTTTTTCCGCGATCATTTTTATCAGCCAATATATCCTCCCTCGCCTCTACGCGTTATCATCTTCAGCGACCGGCTTATCACCGACCACGAGCGTTTTCCCGGACTTCGAGAGCGTCTCACACAGAAACGCCGTCGTGTCCCTCGCTTCAAATTTAATACACTTTTCGTCCCGCTCCGCTTTTCCTACGCGCGCGCGCGTCTCACGAGCCCGATGTATTCTCGAATTTTTACGCCGCACCATCATTTTTATTTGGCACGTGTCGATACGTAACCGTTTGTCGATTTATGGCCTTGCGTTTTATATCGGCGCGATAAACATCCCGCCTCCTCTCTCTTCCCGATTAATCGACCCGCTCTCTCCGCTGCGTTCTCGCTTTCGTTCGCCGCGTTGCCGAGGCTTCGCACGTGCGATTTTTGTCCGTGCTTCTTCCTCCGTGCGCCGTCTCACGGCTGTCTTTCGCATGGTATCGCGCACTACCGCGGCTGCCTATACTTAAAGAGAGGAGTCTTGAAAAGATACACGTACCGAATGTGATAATCTGATAGATAAAGCGATGGCGAAAATATCGTTGAAGAGACGCGAAGAGAAAAATTTTGCGAAAAACGGAAAAGTCGAAACGGATAAAACCACTTTGGCACTTGACGCTCGAAAATTCGACTTCTTTCAGTGTGAGAGAGATATTTGGAATTTTATCTCCTATTTTTCATTCTACACAGTACCACATAGATCCCTTTTTTCTTCCCTCTCTTTCTCACACACACACACACACACACACACATACACACACACACACACACGCACATATGCACACACGCACGCGCGCGCGCGCGCGTGTTCGAGTGACCAACTCACGGCCTGCGAGTGAAGTAATAATAGCGTATTGTACGAACTTGTAATATTGGGCATTCCAGTAAAAACCGCGGAGAGTGCAAAGTTTGACGGTGAAACTTTCTACGGCCAACACTATCTCGAGCAATTAAAAGTGTCCGCTCGATAAAATTATTCTCCCGATAATTCACACGACGTAATTACGCTCCGCGAAAACGTGCACGTTTATATAGAAACATCTCAATGAGCCTTATACTAAAAAGCAAATTCGGCATTCGGACACGTTCGTGCATTTTTATGATCATCGCTTCGTTTCGCGCGACATGTTGATGAACGAATTAACGTGTGTGAGCACACAAAGAATAGGGATCGAGATGAAATGCATACGCGCGATTCAAGCTGGAGATAATGGTCATCTTGATTGCATAATTTATGTGTGAAACGCAAATGACATTTCCCGTCGAAATTAGTAATGAAAATTAGCAACGGTATATTTTACTTGCTGATTCTCCCAAGAGAGAATCGAAATCGATAAATTTGATTCGACAAGCGTCTCGAGTGCAGCGCGGGCGTGAAAATAAAAGTACGCAAATTAACATTCGCAAACGCGATTATCTCGAGACTTATCTCAAACTTGGAACGCAGCTCTTCGACGCAGCTCTCAACAGATTTCGACTGCGACACACGTGGGACTCGACAATCAAAATCGATTATTACTTCCTATTTGAATAATGCCTGACGCACAGTCACGTCATTCAACTTCATTGCATGTCGATAGAACCTGCTCCGTAGCCAATTAATCATAATTTAAGCATTTGCGTTCGCAATCATTTCTTACGCCTCTCGTGCGAGTCTTACAACCTGTTTACACTACGTCGATCACGATATCGTCGTCAATCTGAAATCATTTCTTACGTTAACGCGTAACGGATAATGATAATCGATATATATCATACTGTTTGATTTATAACGCAATATTATATTTATAAAAACAGTAGAGCGTTTCTCGGATTTCCATACGAGTCGACCTCGTGTGACGCCGTGTGCGAGTAGTGTGAATACGCTGTGAGACTCGGAGAATATACGAATACAGAAAAGCGTTTCCTTTGCGTTTCTTTTTCTTCTCGCAACAAGCAACGATGAGCAATCGGCAAAGGCAAATGTGGTAAAATTGTTCTGAGCAGAAGCGACCGGTCCGCTCGATACGATTGCCCTGTCCGTGTGCTTTCGGCGCTGCTCGTCGCAAGCCGTTTAATGTCTTTGGTTCGTTAACGTAACGATAAGTGCGACCGAACTGCGATTTTCTTTGCTCAACCCGCTCCCGATTGTACAAGCATGTTTGTCACCTGAGTCCACTCCCTCCCCCCTGCCCCGGCTCTGTTACTTTCGAACCCCGAGCGCAGATTGAGTGTGTATTCTTTAGTTAGTTAGGTAATTAGCGTTTTAAGAGCAACAACAGCAACAGCAGCATCGTGCTTCCATCCGCTCTGTCTACTCGGACTTACCTTGCCTGAGATGAGATTTACGTTTAGTGCAATGACCTGCCTGTGAATGTTACCGACGATCGATTTTCCTCTAATATCTGTTAATTCGTTCTTTTCGTACTTTTTACACTTTTCACGCACGAGCGATGCATAAATCTGAATGCCTCATGTATATATACATATATTCTCATCCGACGGGAATAGTCGGTAGTAGTATGAATGACTAGGTGCGCCTGTCGACGTACCTTATATTATTCGGTCACACGACACTTACACTCTTACACTCGACAATATCCGTTTATTGGCAATGCCGTACGCGTCGCGCTTTAGCGAGGATAAAGGCGCGTCGTCTCTCCGCGTACTTGTGTTGCAAATTATTACATTGATCGCGTAACAGATACGAGAACGTTCGCGCGCGCGTAACAAGTGCACTTGACGAAAGAGCACGGCTGACGTAATGATCCTCGAGTGAGTTCTCGATTCTCTCTCGTTATAATTAGAGAAACGGACATTGAATTGAGTCACTCGAGATATAATTGTCCGGACCTCGAGGAGCACTAACGTAAGAGCGAATTTAATCATCCTTCCGATATCAATTCGCGGAGAGAGAAATCTTCTGTCGTAGGACTTGACTCACGCGACTTGTACGGGCGGAGATTCCCGCTCGCTCGCGAGATCCGCGAGAAATATCGTGCGCAAACAGAAAGACAGCCGATAGTATCGATTCGTCGACAAAGTAAACGGTAGTCGGGGACAAGTGTATCGAACGGCGAATTCGCGCACAGGGAGACCGTGTACAGAACAGACGAAGGAAAAGACGAAGAAGACTGAGACGGAGAAAGAAAAAGAGAGAGAGAGAGAGAGAGAGAGAGAGAGAGAGAGAGAGAGAGAAAGAGAGAGAGAAAGAGAGAGAGAGAGAGAGAGAGAGAGAGAGAGAGAGAGAAAGAGAGAAAGAGGTAGAAAAAAAATCCACATACGCACATTTGCCTTGACCGATCGTGGCGTTGCTTGTTGCAGCGAGGCGTCGCGGCGATGAGGAGACTGCGGATGGCGTCGGCGCCGGAAGTGAGGCGCACATTACGCCCAGCGACGAGGACGAGGAGGATCACGAGGACCCGCGTATCATCGACGAGAAAGTGCCGCAAGGAGGCCAAGAGAATCCGATACACGCGAGCACCGAATACGTGAACGGCCGTACGGACATTAAAGACGCCAAGAAGGACGAGAAGACGGACACGCCTGTTTAAAAAAAAAAAAAAAGGAATTTTCCAAGCGGGCACTTTCACGCACTTTCCTACGTCGTCTCTTTAACCTCCTTCTTCCGCTACGCGCGGGGTAAAACCGAGCTGTCGCGATTTCCACACGTTAAATCGGCTACCAGTACAACAACCACCCAAAAGTTTCCTTCCGGTTTCAGTTTTAGCGCGCGCGCGCGCGCGCATCAGCGAGAGAAAGAGAAAGGGAGAAAAAGAGAAAAATCGCGCGCGGACACGCTTTACACGCGTTTATTTATCTCGCGTTTCGTTCACGGGAAGACGAATTGTTTCGGTATAAGACGAATTACGTAAACGTAGGTGCGCATTTAATACTTTTCTTTTTCAAACGTTCGAAATACAAAACAAGCAGGTAGCAGTTTCGCTCTTAACACATCGCGCTTAACGAATGTCCAAGAGCAAAAAGGAAATATAACACGAAAGAAAGAAACGATCGTAGAAGTGTGCAGCGTGAAATTGCGCCTGACGGCAGACGTTGTCGAAATTTCAAGCTAGGGACGAGTTGCGTTCCGATAGCGCGTCGCGTTCGCATTTTTCTTCGACGACAGCTGATTAAGTCTTCGGAAACGACCATAGGTGTTCGCGTCGGTTAAGCTCGATTCTCGGCCCATCGATGTTCGGCTCCGACGCACCGGAATCTCCCCTTCGTGTCGGCCAGTGAAGATACTGTTTGGCTTTTTTATACCTTTTTTTTTTATTTTCCCTTCTTTACGGACGCGAGCCGAGTAAAGCGAATCCAACTTCAATGCAGATTCGCTGGATTAAATTACTAATTTTTACAATCTCTTCAACGGCGTTAATCGGATAATTTAAGAATACTCAATATTTTAAAGGTAGAGTTTTTATCTTAAGAGAAGCAGGGATCTGATGTATGTAAAAAACGCGAATCTCAATTTTGTTATGGATCTACGAGTGTGTCCGGTCACGATGGCGATCGGGAGATTTTCGCCGCGATACTCTCGCCACTGGAGAGCAGAGGCATGTGGCCTCCAAAAGGGCGGGGATTTAGCGATGATTATAAAGTAGTTATTACAAATTTCCGGGGACACGCCTTGTCCCCATCGACGGCCACGATAGGCATCCTCGCGACGTACCGAACAAATCAAATTGTGCAGCCGATCTTTTTATAAACATGACACACGAGACGACACACGTTCGTTTACGCGCGACGAGACAGACGCGTGCATGTGAGGATTTGCGCCGGTTTGTTGGGAGTCGGTGAAAGAAGCTACACGAGAGGGGGGACACGTTTCTCCTTGCTTTTACCGAATCAATCCGCACGCTCGACGTAAGTTTCGCGATATTCGGGTAAGATAAAAGCACCGACATGCGCTGGGATACGTATCTAACAATGGAGGACATTCTTGTCATTTAGACCTTTGTATACGAATATTTAAGCGCGTTCAACATACAATATATACGTATATGTCTATTAAATATACATATGTTACGTGTCGAGGAACTAAACATTAAATATTCGTATCTGAAGAGCTAAATAATAAAATGTTTCGAAGTGGATAAGTATCTCGGCATCGCGATACTTTTATCTCAATTGCATTCGTGCAAGGAACGACGTGGGCGCGTATCATTAACGCTAAGGCGAAGAAGCACATTCCGTAATATGAGGTATTTCTTTCTCAGCTATAAGTAGACGTGTTTTCGTGAACGTAAAAATCTCTTTGTGGAATCTATCTCTATTATTACTGTGATCGTGATGTGTTTCGACTTCGTGCGTGTCTGTAACCATGTCTTTTCTCCGCGTTGACCTCCCGAGACTACCGAGTGACGACTACTCTCGGTGAGAAATTTCACGAGTTTCAGCAATTCATCGCGAGACGCACTCTCGTTTAAACGACGCTACAGATTCGCCGGGTTTTAACGTTTGCTCTTACGACGGTCACACTTGTGTACGGCATCAAGAGAGAACGCGCAACGAGCGAACAACGAGAACGATTGCCAAGCATATGGGCGGAAGAAAGATTTTTTTTACGAAATTTCAACGTCCGAACGACGTCCCCATCGAAAGTGCGATCGCGTCTTTGTATTATTCACCACGACTGCAAATTATCCCACGCCTTTTGTACTGTAACATTTTTACGAACGCTGTAACATTCCCGAAGTGCGTTTTACTTACGTGCATTTTATCGGAGAGTGAGATCTTTTTATAAGTTACATGTATACACATATATGTATAGTACAATAAGATCACTGCGCGGACGTACGGAATGTTGCGTAAGTTCCTAAACAGGGTTACAACATTACGCATTATTCACCTAATTCCAAAGAGTTCGATGCTAAGGATACGTACACGCGGAAAAGTCTGTCAGCCGGTTCAAACGATGTATCCGAAATGATGATTCCGAAATACGAGTCAGTCGTAGATATTCGAAAAAAAGATATTTTCTGTCATGATTTCGCCCACCCCACTTCCTTGTTTTCCCGACTTACGCAACTTACGAAACATACTGTATATAATTGTAGCGACTAAAGGTCCGCAAGGACGTTTCGATAATCTATATTAAATACAACTTTATAAGATATGAATTGCATTCAGAGAATCTCATTTACGAAACAATATATAGATACGTGACGATTATTCCGTTTGATAAGAAAACATAGCGATTTTATAATGGCGTTTTAGTATGAGAAGTACGCTCGATCAGACCGCAAGCGATCGTAAGCGGACGTAAAAAATCGAGCGGATAAGATTTATATGATATTCTTATGATATCAAGGATGTCTTCAAACTGTCGTACGATACTTTAACTCATTCTGTGATCTAATTAGAGTCGAAAATCCCACACGAAACGCACAGTTGCAAGCCTAAGCGTATAAAATTATGCGGCGTCATTGATTAGCTCTTACGATGACATTTTTCTCGCAAGAATTAACTGACTCTAATTAATCGTCTGAGTGCGTTATTGAGATATTGTACTTTTAATATGAAATATTAAATTCGTATGTGTTCACAGTTTTAAACGTAGCAGCACTATGGTAACGTATAACTGTTTTCTTAGATCGGTATTCATATATTTGCAAATTATATATAATATTTTATTGAGAGAATAATTATAAATTTGTATTCATGAATCAGAGTGTTTTATCGTTTATTTATTGTGATAATAATTTTCTATACGAAATGGTATATATTAACGAATATATGTTCGGAGATTCGTGAATTTATAATTATACGTCGAAAGTAACGACAAACTACGAATACCGATCTTAATTTTCTTCTTAAAAGGCAATACTTATATTTACGCATGCATAAAATATCACTCTACGAGTGTTTGAATTCGGCACTCACCATTTTTTGTTGAAATCCCTCAATGCCCAGCAAAGTCCCTTCGAGCACCTGCCGAAATTTTTATTTTATATAGTTGCTAATATTAGCCCGAGAGTTGATAAATTTTTATCTTATATCAACCCTAAGAATTCCGTGAAATTTGAAGGTCTCTAGTGAATGATTTCAAGATACAATATTGTGTGAGCGTGTAACTTAATGAGGTGATGGTGATATCATAGTGTCAATCATTTATACATCACGGCAGTCAACATTAAAACACACAAAACTTACAGTGCTGCTGAGTTGCGACTCGAGCGGCGACGAACTGCATCCCCCACCTGCTTATCCAGCACTTTTTATTTTTTATTTTTTTTATTATTGACGAACGAAATTTACGAAGTCGATTAATGCACAAGTGCGAAATCAAAGTTTAAATATTTTTTAACGAATATCTATCCCGATCACGATCAAGTTTCTGGCATACAGAGAACACTCGAGTTACGACCCGTTTCGGGAAATCTGTATTCGCAATCCGCGAATTTTCGCACATAAAATCGCGAGCCGACGATCGGTTGCACCAACCACGAAACTGATCGACATCGGACACGAAACAATTGAGAGCGACGCGAACGCACGATTGCACGGCATCTCAATGGAAACTTTCCCGCGAAGCTATTCCGTATATACCAATGTGTATCTCACTTTCGTAATGTTCCTTTGAACTCAATTTCGAGAAATGTATCCTCTCTTTGTGCGAGGACGCGACCGAAAGAAATCGTAAACATACGAGATGGCAGCAGTAACATGAAAACAATCATGGCCGCCGAATTGTAGCGCGTTTCACGTTTGATGGCGCGATGTGAAAAATGCGCATGATATAATAACCCAAAATAATTGGAAAATCACGCTGAGAGTGAAGAATACCGTTAAATAATTCTATAGATTAAATCAAATATAAGAATAAATAATTGAATTGTTCCGTTCGCGCGTACAAAAAGATGTTTATTGAAAATTATGCTATTCGATCGGCACGTTGATTGTACGTATTTATAAACATTTAAAATCATCCGCTAATTATTTATTATATTTGCCATGCAATATTATATGGCAGAATGAATGTGGCAGTTCTAATCGACTGATTAAACGGCTGATCGATTGACTAATAAAGCGGAAAATAACAGACATCGTTTCATTCACGCGCGTCGCGACTGCTGTTTCAGACGTAGCAACTAAAGTGCGCGGCGCGCTGAAGGTCGCGCCGCGCTCGCGATACACACACACTGTGACTAGTTCGCACGAGGGCATATGCAAAACACAATACACACGACCGATGGAATGTTCCAGAGTCTCAATGAAACCGGAAATTCTAGAATCAAGCTAATTTGTTTTCGTAGGAAAGCAAACTGCGTTCTTTGACTGAATATTATATAGAGATTGGATAATTCCTCTTGAGTCACAGGCCATCATGCGTACGATTGTTAACTATTTAAAAAATTGTACCGAAGGACCAAAAGGCTAAACAATTTAATAAACGATTAAAATCTCTATTAAATCTCTATCGGCAATTATATGCTCGAATATTGACTGATCGTCATATAGAATGAAAGCGAGAGACGAAATTAGTCGGGCTAAAACTGTATGAAAATTCTGAATCGCGATAATTTTACAAAAAATGACGCCGTACTAGTATAATTATAAGTCGCTGAGCACGACGCTGTGAATTCGACGTGCTAATTATTAGCCGATTTTGACCGCTCGTAACGTGGAAATTATAGATCACACACACACACTTTCATATTGGAATCTTCGATTCTAATTAAGCCCTAGCGCTATATTTAATGGCTAATGCGCTATTAAAATATCGTATGATAGTTATGGGACATCCTATATAAAAGAATTATACAACATTGATTGTCTCCGTTTGTCGTAATTTTTCTTACGTGTTTCTACGTGTTCTTTTTATAATACACAGTACGGCTGTTTGTAAATGGTACTTGTGATTACACGATTATGCAATTTTTGTACAAGGAACATGTTTCGGTTTTGAGTAAATTGGACTCACTTTTTCCAACGACACACGCGGTCCCGTCTCGCTTTATTGAACGGCGAATATAATGAATACGCTGCGCATGCGACAAGAGTTGAATCATATCCAGGGCGACGATGCGAGTTACTAAGTACAATCGCGATAATCAAATCTTTGAGAAATGTCATATAACAATGTTAACAAGTTTTAAGAGAGATACGTATAACACGGCGAATTGTTTCCGCTGTATCAAGAGTGGCTTGTCGTGTGCGCATGGTGTGTTAAATATATACTTCTCGATCAATCTCGCATGTACCGCAAGATCGTCGTAAGATTTGCATCAAGTTACAAAATCATATTTCTTCGTGCACTTACATGTAGAATCGAAAACACAGCTTTCTGATACTTCTCTCATTTTTTTGAAAGTTCCACGGGGGTTTTGCGAAAATTTCACACACGATTACGTTTAAAAACGTCGGGGATAGTTTCTGAAAAATTCCGACATGTACGAAAATTCGGTTTGCTTGAGACCCGCGGCGACATTTATTATTTAACTCATTCCTCGAGAAAATTCCACTCTAATCCAAGGAAACCTTATTTTCAGATGTAGTTAACGAGATATTTACCGTTAGGAAATCTTCAAACGAATTCTCCGCTGAAGAGAGAGGGATCTCCTTTTATAACAGCGTACACGCTCACTTAGCTTGATGCAAAGCATCTTGTATTTATCCGCATGCCGAATATCCTTTTTTTCTGCGGCGTGTTAACGGGGCTGCGAGTGCAACTCGCGTTCGGAGTGAGTTTTCGCGAAGTCTTTCTATTATTGCCTTTCGACAATGAGTGTCGTTTGTACTTTCGTACAGGTAATCTTTCCTTAGCTGCCATCAAACGCAACTCTATTCATTCCTGACACTCGCAGCACGTGCACGTACACGTTGCATACGACGCGCGAACGTAGGTCTCGTCGGCATCGCGTAAAAATGATTGAGAAACCAAAGGATACGAATTCTCGCATGTACCATTGGTCGATGATACATTTCCGAATTCCGCACGTACATACATACCCACAAACACACACACACACACACATACACACACTCTCACCGTTTTCCCGGATGCAATCGTGTTTTCACTTATGAGAGGACCCGTGTCGGCCGACGGGATTATCGAGGTTCTCCTCAGAGGAGGAATAATTAAGCGAACGCGTCTTAATTATGACTATGAAGACATTTTCGAGGCAACCGACAAATTTCGACGAGAGAGAACACCGATTACGATTACGCGTCGGCCGACGGTCGAATCTACTGCGTGTTGTACATACTAAATATATATATATATATATAAATATATATATATAAATAAAGATATATAAATATATATAAATATAAAAATATAAATATAAAAATATAAATATAAATATAAATATATATATATATATTATATAAATATATAACGCGGTACACGGAATCGAGGAACTGTGTGTGTACCGGATATATAAATATATATATATATTCTGTGTCGAAGGCACTTGGCTTGCAACTCGTGAATGCCGATCGAGTATAAGTAACTCACTTATCCATTTGCACTCCAATTGCCGTGCGACCTGTCGTTATCCGCGAATTTTTCAGGGTGAAAGATATTATCGGGCAAGAATGATATGAGATTTACTTAGAGCAAGTTGATGAAATTTTTTGAGAGGGAACGAAAGAGCGGCACGTGCGAGGAAGGCGGTAACGGGGGACGGGGTGCGCGAAATTAATGGACAAATATCGCTACCTCGGAAACTGGAACGACCGAATGCCGCTCGCAGACTAGACTAGACGGACGCGCGTCCTATATCCGAGCACGTGAGTCTCCATTACGGCCGCGCGGTAAAAGGAAGAAGACGTTACGTGCTCGGTTATGGGGCATTTATCCTTTTTACTTTCGCATCTGCCCCCTTTTCAGTATTGGAAGCTGCCGTCTTTTTACTTCCTATCTTATCTCTATTTCTCGGCTCCGTACACGAAAAATTTCTTCTTCTTCTTTCTCTTCCTCTTCCTCTTTCTCTTCCTCTTCCTCTTCCTCTTCCTCTTCCTCCTTTTCCTCCTCCCCTCATCTTCTTCTTCTTTTTCTTCTTCTTCTTTCGCCTCATCGTCGTCCTTCTGTTTCCTTCGACGCGCACTTCGGAATAGAAGCAGAAGGAAGAAAACGTCGCGCGCGCGATATGCGAAAGGGTGAACGACATC